CGTCCCTGTGGGGCAAGGGGCCGAAGGGGAGGTCCTTGTCGGTGAAAGTGATGGCTTCCACATGCCGCCGCTTCGGCTGAGGGGGGGCGTGGGTCACCTCACCAACGTATAGGGACTGAGCCCATTTTTTCCGTTGGGTAGCCGAGTCCCCCCCTGTGTTCCCGCCGACGATGATGTGAATGTGATGTTTCTTTTGGCGGGGCTCTTCTTCGTCCTCATCTTCACTGAGGGCGCCGATCTCCCTCTTTTTCCCGGAGGATCCTTCCCCCCTTTTGCCAGGGTTAACCCAAGTGTTACTCTTGGGGGCACCCTTGACAAATTGGGAAAGTTCCCCCTGTCGGATGAGGCCGTCGATGTGTCTCTTCAAGGTGGTGCAATCCTCGGTCTTGTGGGATGTCTGGCGGTGGTACTTGCAGTATGTCCCTCCTTTGTGGACCGCAAATATCTCCTCCTCTGACCTGGGGTCCTTCACGATGAGGCCCTGCGCCTCGGCGTGGTCAAGGACGACGCTCACCGGGTGGGTGAGGGGGATGCGTTGTGCCTCCAACTTTGGACGCCATGAACGATCCTCTCTTCGCTGTCCGCCTTGCTCCTGGTGTGCCTTCTTTGGCTGGTGCTGTCCCTTGTTGGCCGGCGGGTGGTGTGGGTTGGACGAGGAGTCCTTCTTTTGTTGCTTCTCCCCACCCTTCTTCTGGTTCAGGAGCTCGTCGACGTCAGCGTGCCTGTCCCCGCGTCGGAGCGCCGCGAGGTATGACCGCGGGGGCTCTGTGAACAGGCTTCGGGCGAAGTGGCTCGGCCGAAGTGCTCCGCGGAGGAAAGCCAAGAGAGTGCGCTCGTCGGCCCCTTCACATTCGTCCGCCTCCCTTGTCCAGCGATCGAGGAAGGCTCGGAGTGTTTCCTCCGATTGTTGTTTGATAGTCAGGAGGTGGGCGAAATGCTTCTTCGCACGCTTCCTCCCGGCAAAGTGGGTGAGGAAGCGCTGAGCAAGGTCCTGCCATGAGTCGATGCTCCCTTCTGGAAGGTTATTGAACCAATCATACGCTGGCCCTTCCAAGGTGGATAGGAACCAGCGGCACATGTATTCCTCCGAAGCGTTGGTCATCATCATGTTGTTCTGATAGCGGGTGAAGTGCTCCTGGGGATCAGTGCGGCCGTCATATGGCTTGATTGGATTCCCCTTGTACTTCTCTGGGATGGGAGCGGAGAGCACCCTCGCAGAGAAGGGGGTCCGGGTCCGTATTTGGATGACGGGCTCGTCGCGTCGGTCGGCCAACTCCCTCTCCAAGGCACTGACCTTGTGCAGGAGTGCATCGTAGTTGGGATGCTGGGATGTGTGAGCCGCTGCGCGCCCTGCGGCTTCCCGGGCCTCCATATCTGCGAGGCGCTTTTCCAGGCGGGCGATGATCTCGTCCCTTGGGTCCATGTTGGCCGCAGCGCCACCCAGCGGTGTCTGGATCCGGGCCGCGTGGGCCAGGTCGATCTGATGACGTGCATCATTATCATTCAGTTTTCCCTTTCCTTTGTCTTGTCGGGGCCGATCCGTTGTCCGGGAAACGGACCCGAAGCTTTCCTTTGGTGATCCCGGCTCGCGACCACCCAACCGATCCGCAACCCTTCCCGTAGGTACCCGACGGCTCGCGATGTCACCCAACCTATTGAAGGCCGAGATTTTACCGCGAGGTTGGGCCGGTGTATCCCGGGTAGGAGAGGCAGTATGGGAATGGGTGTCCGCGGCGAGGATGCCTTCGTCGTTGCCGAAGAAGGTGACGCCTTGTGGCCGAGGCGGCGGTGGTGGCACCGTCGCGACTTCTCCAGTCACGGGAGTGTTGTTTTCCCCTGTCTTCGCGACGAGGGCGCTGACGACGTTGGGGTCCTGGAGAATGCTTGCGACAATGGCCGATAGTGCGGCCGGGTTGATCTGGGGGGCAACAGGGTGAGAAGTCTGCTGGCCCGAAGCGCGATCAGCATTGCGCTTGTCCTCGAGCCCGATGCGGGCGTCTGGGGCAGTCTTGTTGAGCTGGGTGCGAAGGTCGGCCGCTGCGAGCTCGACCTCCTGAGCGTTCTCATCCTGAATGATGAGATCATTGGGGACGTTGTCAGCAACGTTTCCCTGCCCTTCCTGGTTCAGAGGGGCATTCCTTCCGGTGTTCTTTGACCTAGTTCTTGTCATTCTGTTGCGTCTAGTAGCGACGAGGGGTACTCACTTGATCTGTTCTAGCTCTCAACGAGAGCACCAAATGATAGAGTATTAATTCTAGAGAGAAGTGAGAGCTAGAGAGAGAAAGTGAGTAATTATATTTCTCAACTTGGAACCCCCTATAATTAGTCCCATGGGGTCTATTTATAGGTAAAAAGATGGGTTTGGGCCCCTAGCCTTGGGCTTAGGAGGCCCATTACAATAACCATGCCTTCTTTGGGCAAATAAGGCCACTAATGGGCTGAGTACAACACTTAGTACATAAAATAGGAAAATACATTCTGTCCGGGCGAAGTTCGGACGATGCGGTCCATGGACGATGCGGTCCATGGACGATGCGGTCCATGGACGATGCGGTCCATGGACGATGCGGTCCATGGACGATGTCATCCAAATAACTCAGGCGACATCTTCTTTTTTGGACGGTACGTGCCTCTGGCCGATGCGGGTGCCCCGCTGGTGTCTTTTGGGCCATTGAGTATGTGGGCTATGGGGTCCAGGCCCATATACTCTATCAATGACCTATGAATAGTAACATAAAATATGTGATATTAAATATTGAAGATCCATTAATTAAACTTGGATTCCCTTAAAACTAATTAAATAATTGTTATGTATGATGACATGGCAGAGCTACGTGGCGCGTTGTATGCTCTTAAAAAGTTTCTCTTTTATATATATATATATATATATATATATATATATATATATATATATATATATATATATATATATCTTACAAATCTTATAAATGTGAATGAGGGTTAGGGCTATTTAGGAATGCAAAATGTGTTAGTGTAACATAAGGCATTACTTAGTGGTACTTTATGCTATTTTATGAGGTTTGTAAATGTCAAAACCTTTCAATTCATTGTTGCCCTTTCCGTTTTATCTCCGTTACCGTTATACGGAGTAATAGTTACACTCAATGTTCATTCTCTATGCTCTTTTCTCGTCATGCAATATTTTTGACGATTTCTCTAAAAACAATACATCACGTATTTTTCCTTTCCCATGTATAAAAAAATGCATCGTATTTTTGTCTCATTTAAGGCTGCAGTAATGCCAATGAGGCGATTCCTCGTAATTGCTATTGCAATTTTAGGAATGAGGCGGTGTTTTTCAACCATGCAACCAGTGAGCTATAATTTTACTGAACTAGGTGTATTTTTGAGTTTAATGAACTGTTTGATTGGATATGGAATGCCAAGATTACTAAACTCATACGGAGTATATCCAATTTCAATGAGATTAAAAACATGTTTAACAGTTTAAATCATGAAGTTCACGGTTTGTGATTTTATTGTATATGTATATTTAATTGGAAAAGAGAAATTTTATTTGAAGCAGTCTTGATGTTTGTAATTTGTAAATTTGTATACGTCAATGTTTTTTTTGTAAATATGAAACTTTTGTCAATTCATATACTCTAATTTAGATTCTCATGTATATATTTGCTAAGGTAGTTTCTATGGTACCCATAAGGTATCATACCTTTGTCCACATGGACCAATGAAAAGGTAGCAGTTGAATTAATTAAATTTAAATTAAAATTGATAAAGTGATGTGGTTCAATCAAATGAATGGTAGGTACGGTACCCTTGTTTTTAGAAAGGTACCGGAGTTGTCACCATTTGCTAATTAACCACAAGTGTGTTTTCCCATGTTGAATACGGAGTATATGTTTTAGGTCATTTTGAGTGAACATTACAACGTTTAAAAGTTGCGATTTTATTCAAATGGTTTTCTTAGTTTGTTATTGGTGAATTTGGAAGAAAATGGCACTGTTACGTTGAGTCATACTATTGGGCATTCCCCTGTCGCGCAACGCGCGTAACACAACTAGTATATATATATATATATATATATATATATATATATATATATATATATATATATAGAGTCCTGATCCTGTCCAGACGTCCGGACAGGAACTGCCGTCCGGCCGGCGGCGTTTGGCCGCCTTCCCGGTGGAATTTTTTGATGAAATTTTTATGGCATGTTCTCCATCAAGTCTAGTTTATCCACAAAAAAATTCAGCCAAAAACTCAATCGGGAAGGTCGTCAAATGATTTTTTCAAGTTAACTGGTCCGGAAAATACATATTCCGGACCAGTTAACTTGCAAAAATCATTTGACGACCTTCCCGATTGAGTTTTTGGCTGAATTTTTTTGTGGATAAACTAGACTTGATGTAGAACATGCCATAAAAATTTCATCAAAAAATTCCACCGGGAAGGCGGCCAAACGCCGCCGGCCGGACGGCGGTTCCTGTCCGGACGTCTGGACAGGATCATTTGTGTATATATATATATATATATATATATATATATATATATATATATATATATATATTGATTTGTTTGCCTTCCAAGCACTACATGGGGACCAACGGTTAGTGGGGGAGCATTCCAATCTACACCGTTATCTTATTCATATGGATGGTCACGATTAATTTGTACTTTGTAATTTATATATATATATATATATGTGTGTGTGTGTGTGTGTGTGTGTGTGTGTGTGTATAGAGTGCTCTTCTCATCAGGCCGGCCTGACGGGCTGCTCCGTCCGGCCGAGCCCATTTGGGCACCTTCCCGGTGGAATTTTTTGATGAAATTTTTTGAGCATGTTCCTCATCAAGTCTAGTTTGTCCATACCAAATTTCAGCTCAAAATTCGATCGGGAAGACATTCAAATGATTTTTTGAAATGATTTGAATGTCTTCCCGGTCGAATTTTGAGCTGAAATTTGGTATGGACAAACTAGACTTGATTAGGAACATGGACAAGTAAGGGAGGGACCTGAGCATTTATGTGTGTGTATATATATATGTATATGTATGTATATGATTTTACATGGTGTAATAAATGCAAGAAATATCGGAAAACATATTTCGGGAAACAAGTAGAGCTGAAATAAATATTAGAAAACATGTACTACGTACATCAGTACATCTCATAAAATAATACTCCCAAAATTAAGGGGTAAACCAATTGTAGTTTGGTTGTATTATTAAGGTTAATAAATAAGAAAGAAAAAACAAGGATTCCCTTTACTAGAGGTGCCTATGTGAAAATCGTGGCAATTTACAACATTGGTCACAAGAAAAGGATGTGAAGTGGCGTGCCTCAATTTTTGTGTTGCAATCTCCCGCTTTCAGAACCAGCATAGGGATCGATTGTGACATTGATAACGGCAGGTTTCCTAGCAGAGAATGACTCAGCAAGTGCTGATTTGAGTTCATCTGGAGTTCCGACAAGATACCCCTTCCCTCCGAAGGCTTCAATCAAAAGATGGTAGGAAGCACTTGGAACGAAAGAAGTGGGCGCTGGATCATCTTTGAAGGGTCCACTAATCTCTTCGGGGTTCCTTCTGTCACCACCATATACACCGCCGTTGTTGAAGACTATGACCACTACTGGCAGCTGATATCGAACCAATGTCTGCATATTCACAATTTATCTACCCATAAGAAGATGAGTGGAGGACAGAAAAAGATGAAGAAGGAATAACACCTACCAGATGTGATTATGTGAAGCTATAACAAGTAATGTGTTTCTTCAGAGTGAGATCAACACTCATGGGTAATGTAGTGCACATCATTTACATTTAAGGGTCTGGGCAATATTAGTGTTAGATGACCATTATATGTTATTTTAACCTTTGGATTTCATTAAATCTCAAACATATTTCAAAAAATAGATCAAGTCCTCCAGAGCTTTCCCTGCAAGCACCCTCTATCCAAAGAGAACCTAAGGGTTTAAATGTGAAATCATATGGCAATAACATACAAGGATAAGATGTTTACAATAATAGAAATGCCCATTATGGAATTATAAAAAGAGTACCATTTTCGCAATTTCTACCCATTTTTCTCCTACCGAACAACACGCAAAACCTGACCATATTTCTCTATTGTTTCTCTCTTCTCCATCTTTTTATCACTCATTTCCCTCTTCTCTATTTCTTCTCTAAAACAAACAGAGGCTTAAGAACCTACAACGTTGCTAGGTGGGAAAACCATGTTTGTAAAGTATAATAGACAATTGTAACTGCATTATATAGGTACCTAATATGATATAATCTAATTAATGGTAACAATAAAAATCTATTTAGTATAATAAAAAGAGCATACTACCTCAACTTCCATAGCACTGAACCCAAATCCAGAGTCACCTTCTACAGCAACAACAAGCCTATCAGGTGAGGCCACAGCAGCAGCAATGCAGTAACCAAGACCTACCCCCATTGTTCCCCAAGTCCCAGCATCCAAACGAGTCCTTGGCTCGGTCTGTACCAACACTGATCTCCCAATGTCCATCGTATTCGCTCCTTCAGATACCAATATAGGTGCAGGACTACCCAATCCCAAGATTGCATCTCTGATAATCCTCATTGGAGTCATGAAATTAAACGGAACAACGTCCTTCGCTAATTGTGCCTCCATCTTAGACACATTCTCCTTGGTTTTCTTAGACAGTGACTCAACCCAAGGGTGAGTCTTCCCTAAGCAAAACGGATCATCCTTAATCTCTTTGTTTATCATTCCCAAAACCCTAGTAGCATCTCCCACCAATCCCAACCATGGCTTTCTCAGTTCAATCTCTTCTTTTGATATGTCGACTAATATGAACTTCACGTCCTTTGACCATTTTGGAGGTTCCCCGAAATGCAACAGCCAATTAAGCCGGGCCCCGATCACCAATGCCACGTCGCATTTTCCAATAGCCAGAGACCTTGATGCTGTGGCAGCAAGCTCGTGATTGTCGGGCAACAGACCCTTTCCCATGGGAGTAGGCAAGAAGGGCATCCCTGTACTCTCTACTAAGGTCTTCAATTCGAACTCAGATCTAGAAATGGCAGCCCCTTTTCCGAACACAATCAATGGCCTCTCAGCTTGTCTCAACAAAGCTACCGCGTTCCCAATATCAGAATCCTTGACGATTGGCTTTTCTATTAGAGCCTTTTTGTTGTTCCTTGAAGTCTCAGCTTCTGCAATCAACTTCTGAGCATCGGATTCGCTCACACTCTGGTGGAGCACATCCGACGGAAGATCCAAGTAACATCCGCCGGGCCGGCCGGCGACGGCCCAATCCAGAACATCGAATACACAACCAGGGACTTTGGTGATATCAGTGGCTTTAGCAGAGAACTTGGAGAAGGGTTTCACGGCCTCGATTTGGTCCAGCTCTTGGAAGTCGCCGCGGCCGAAATCTCTCTGATCGCAGGAGCCGGAAATCATGACCAGCGGCCAGGTATTGACGGAGGCGTTAGAGAGGCCGGCGAGGCCGTGGACGCATCCGGGTCCCGACACTGTGAGCAGAACCCCAGGTTTGCCGGTGAGGTAGCCGTACGCGGAGGCAGCATAGCCGGCGGACTGCTCGTTGTGGAAAGCGATGAACCGGATACCGAGAGCAACTGCCCGGTTAGCTAAGGAAGTAACGGGTATACCGACGACGCCGAACATCCGGTCAACGCCGGCGCGTGCCAGGCACATAGCCACCAGTGCGTTGGTGTCGACGGTGGGTGTGCGACCGGCGTCAGCCATTAGTGTAAATTCTTGAGTAGATTTAGCTTGACTGAGACTGTTATACTCACAAATAAGTAATCTGTGTTGAGTGGCTAATGTTGACTGGAATTTGTAGTAGCTGTGATTAGGATTAATCCAAAGCTAATCATTCATTGCTTCCGCCACCATTAGTTGCCTTTCAGGTCTATCTGGGAAAACTTTTTCAGTTTTTTGGCCAACTTCAACTACGGATTATTAATCACTAAAACACAAGTTAACTGCTTCTTCAATTTCACCTCTTTTCAAGAATATTCATACAATTAGATGTCAATGAACATACATCATTAGTTGACTATACTTCAATAATTTATTTAACCGACTTTTCAATTACATTGAAATTTGGTGAATATAAATAGATTTGATGAAGAACATGTTCAAAAACTTTCATCAAAAAAATTCATCGAAAAATATCGCAAACAGTGAATACCGCACCACATTTCACTTCAGGGACTCCTGACTCGAACAAGACTCTTTAATTATTTATATAATTTTAAAGTGCACAAAAGTAAGAGACTACTTCGTACAAGTATAATACTTCTACCGTGTTGGACATTTAGAGCCCGTTTGGTAGCACGAAAATCAACTGATTTGGCTGATTCTACTGAAATTTATGAAGTTCTGGCTGAAATGGCTGCATTGGCTGATTCTGTTGATTTAAGAAAGATTTATTTTAAAATATATTTTATTAATAAAAAGAAAAAAAATATGTAAAAATAGCTAAAATGGTCATCTACAATAATTTCAGTCAATTCACCCAGAAAAACAACTCCAACTTTACTGTTTCTGCTTATTACACGATTCAGCGCGCGAAAGCAAATGTTACGTGTTTAGTGAAAAAATTGGCTAATAAGACTGAAAAACCAAAAAACAGCGTTGCCAAACGGCCTCTTAAATTCAAATGTTTGTTTTCTAGAATTTTTCTTATTAATTCTCGCGTGACTATATTTTTAAATTGTTGCAACTTTCTTGAAACATACTCCTTTTAGAATTCAAAATTGTAAATACAATTAAATTAAGTTTATTTATATACTTCCATTTGAGGTTTTTAATGGAGCACGAGTGCACGACTACTCCCGCTTGTTTAATAGAGGCTGCAAGAGCTGGAACATCTGAAAAGAATGAATGTGCCGAAGTGAAAGTGTTTGATAATATGTTGGCTGAAATAACTGTTTGAGTATAAAATTACTATAAAGTGTATTAACTTATTTGTGTTAAATATATGGGTGTAAAGTGTAAACTAGTAAACTGATGTTGTTCTTCACCTTTTCATATCATCTCTTTCATCTTGATTTTCCGTTCTTTCCATTTCTGCAAATTTGAGGTGAGAGCGGCAACCACCTACCATCATCTATGTTGACGCTATGATATCCCAAAGTTTAAGCGTGTGAGCCATCGCCTCTCCATAGACCTTGAAACCGGCCAGTCAATGCTGGTGAGAGCTCCAGATCCAGAATCTGTAATCAAGGCGGCGTTGGTGTCTGAAGCTGAGGCACCGAATAACTTTAGCATCGGCAGCAAATTTGGAGCGATTGAGGTTGTACACTGACAAGGTGTACAATGGTGACTGGTGAGGACGACGTCAATGGGCAGTGAGTCCTGCTTCTGTTTTCTTCTCTCTGTCGGTGGCCTAGAAATTTGCGAGGGACGAAAGGTCGGGCCGGAACAATTTATTCATCTTGAAAGTCCGCAATATTTCATAAAGGATTTATGGCCAAGAAATTGCTTTCAAGATATGGATGTATACGATGGAATAGGGGAGAGAGAGGTAGTTGACGTGGATATAATTGAGGGTATTAAAGACAATTGCACACTTTTTTATATCTAAAAAAAAGAAAGAAAAAGATGACACCCCATCCCCGAGGGCCCCCCAATACCGACCGGATAGCACGATGGGAGGATGTATGTTGGACTATAATCACAACCTGACAGATAGAGGGTGGAGCTCCGTCCCCGATACTTGCAGAATCCTATGCATTTTTCAGCATAGTAACCCCTTATCGCAGTTGCCGGGATTCGAACCCGAGACCTAACCATTGTGGCACTCCCTCGCTACCAGTTGAGCTACGCCCACCGGTCACTTTTTTATATCTTAAAATAGAAGTGTTGCAATTATTATGAAACTTCCCAAAAAGGAAAGTATTGCAACTAAAAAGAAACGGAGGAAGTATATTTTAGGATTAGAACATGAAAGTAGTAGTTCATCTCATCTTCATTTATTTATTATTTAAATAAAATGTAAAACAAAATAAAAGATAGAAAAATAATAATAAAATATTATAAATTAAAACTTCTAACATTTTTTCGATCAGTAGAAACACAGATTCACTTCTCACAAAAAATAAATTAATAGTTGATTAGAATTTATAATGTCACATAAAATATTAAAAAAAAAAATGAGTCAGTGGTACAAATGTTGTAATATTCACCAATTTATTACAACATGTTATTTGTTATCGTCAAATATCTTTTCATACAAGTAGAGTACAAAACATAACAAATACAATATGTTGTACTCCGTATTAGCTAATTTTGTCATAATGAATGTATGAAATGTGTAAAAATTAAAATGATATATCCTAAATTTGCATTTTTCATGTCTAAGTTATTTAATTATATCCTAAAGATGTAGAGTGAAGAAAAATACAAAGTACACACACATATTACAAGTTTTCGGTGTTCAGTTCGGTTTACGATTTTTCAGTTTTAAACCAAACCATTCGGTTTGATAAAATTCTTACCAAATGATTTACTTAAGTAAAACCAAACCAAACCAAACCACCAATTTTCAGTTCGGTCAAACCAAACCATTTTGTCCACGCCTATGAAGAACGAATCATTCCAGACAGCTGTATGGGCAATTTAAGATAGGGATAAGGGCCAAAAAATGACACTAAGGTTTTTAATGAAACTCGGATTGGACACTTAGGTTATTAGTAGACCAAATTAACACATATTGAAGCTTTTGGGTTGATTTTTAGCCATCCACTAACTTTCCCCTTAAACGGGCGTTTCCCCTGCTAACAAACGCCACTCCCTGCGACTAAACATCACAAGTATATTCACAACCTAAAGACGAAGGAAAACTGAAAGATGGCCGTCGGCGAGCAGCAAGGGAGACAGCCAGTGTTGGCGGAGTGTGGTAATCAGAATGGCCGCGTCGACGACCTCATCCTGGCGGCGCTTATTAGGAAAGAGACAGTCGCCGCCAACTCCTCTTCGTCTTCTTCAACCACCGCAGCTCGCTTCCTTCCGCCCGGCCACCTTCATTTCTCGATGGGCTCTGTATCTCGCCGGAGGACCATCGATCACCACCACTTGCATAGATTCTTCTTATTTCGCTTCAAACTCCGCTACCACCACCGCAACTTTGTGTTGCTCTTCTGCAGCCACACCAACCTCATTTACTTCGGAGTTCACTTCCATTATTATCGACGGCAAGAAACTTTCAAAAGAAATCAGAGACGAAATTAGTGCTGAGATAACTAAGATGAAGATTCTATAGGGCTCATTCCTGGTTTGGCAGTCATTCTGGTTGGCGACAGGAAGGATTCTGCAACTTATGTTCGCAACAAGAAAAAGGCATGTCAAGATGTGGGGATCAGTTCCTATGATGTGCGATTACATGAAGATTCAATAGAAGAGGAAGTTCTTAAGCATATATCCAGATTCAACGATAATCCATCCATCCATGGTATTCTTGTCCAGTTGCCTCTACCTTTGCATGTGATGTCTGCATAATAGGTGGGTGATGAGAATTAGGGTTCTTGTGTCTGTGTTTATTGGGGTGTGGTTTAATAGCAGGGAAAAGGCGTCTTGCAGGGAAACGCCCGTTTAACGGGAAAGTTAGTGGATGGCTAAAAATCAAGGCAAAAGCTTTAATATGTGTTTATTTGGTCTAGTAAAAAGCTAAGTGTCCGATCCGAGATTCATTAAAAACGTTAGTGTTATTTTTGACCCTTCTCCCTTTAAGATACATAAGCTAGGGATCTCCCCTGAGTTCCATTCTCGGTTTATCAGTAAATGAGATTTTGGTAGCCTTATCATTGCAGACAGCTCATCATTCATTGGGACTCCCGAACAGTTTTTTATTACACTTAATAGACTAATAAACAACATTATAGCAGTTTATTTAAAGATAACTGATGGTACCATGGATTAAGACCATGGCCCAATTACGGAGTTAAGATCAAGCCCATAACCAGCGGCGGACGCAAGAATTTCCGGTAGCAGGGGCGGCAGTACAAAATTATACATACAAATACATATACATTTAAAATTTCGGGGTAAATATACTTAATTTTTTTTGGAGGGGCAGCAGCCCCCCTTTGTCACCCCTTGTGTCTGCCACTGCCTATAACGGGAACAAACCCTTGACGGGATTAAGCCCTTAACGGGATCAGCCTATAAACAGGATTAGCCCTCAGCGGGATTAGCCCTTAACGGAATCAAGCCCCAAACGGGATTAATATTAGTAAGCCGTTGGGCCTAATTGGGAGACAGGCCCACGAGAGGAACCCACAACCAGGCCAGGCTGGACAGCAGACCTCTAGCCTGGGCGGAGTTCTAATGAGGTCGGGATATTCCTAGGGCTTACGTGACAGGCTATCCATTGAGCATAGCTATCTGGCAGCCAGAGCCGTCTCTAGGACTTTTGATGCCCCAGACAAAGAATGACTAATTAGATCAAATAATACTTCAAATTAATAATGTAATTACATATGAAGTAATTAGAAAATTATAACATAATTGTTTACTAAAAGTAAAAGGTAATATTTCACTTAAAATTGATATAAAATATGTGAAAATGTAATTTTTTCTAAGAAATAAATAAAATTCTAAAAGTACTACCTAAGAACTTATTCTTCTTGTCTTTTGAAAAATTTGAAAGTACATCATTACAATCAAAAGTAGACCACACTTTTTTCTATGAATAATAACACGAGTTTAGTCAATTCACTTAACTTTTCTTGAGACATTGTTGAACGGATATATGAGTAGTTTTTATCTACTTCAAATTTTAAAAGACTGAATATAGTCTTGTAGAATAACTCATTTACAAATTTCAATTTGTATGCACTTAATGCTGATTTTAGAAACAAATCAAAGAATCAAGGGAAAAATAATTAAAATACCTCAAACTTTGAGAGGGTGTGAGATAAGCACACCCCAAACTTGCATATGTAATTTAATTACCATAAACTTTTTATAAAAAGTTATTTTAGCACCATGGTCATGTATTATTTCTTTCAAATATATTAATTTTTTGTGTTAATTTCATAATTTAAAATATTTTAGCATTCATGAACATACAATTAACATTATAAACTTCCATTGTAAAATAAAAAATACTACTACCACTCTATATAATTGCAATATTTTTAATTTACTATTTTGAATTATGAAATTAACACCTTAAATTTATATTTTTGAAAAGAATAATATATGATCATGGTGCTAAAATAACTTTTTATATAAAGTTTGAAGTATTTAAATTACATATGAAAGTTTGGGTTGTTTATCTCACATGCCTTTAAAGTTTGGGGTATTTTATTTATTTTTCCCAAGAAGCAAAGAATGAAAGAATCAAATATTATATACGGAGTATAACAGATTACCCAATGGCCAATGCTAAAATTTGAAGTTCGAATGGTGGATAACTTTGGATTAAAATTTGAAAGAGTAGAATCTATGGACTATAGACTGGGTAATAGTTTAATAGACTACTAGTACTCCGTATTAGATTATCCTAATTTTCCATTGGGTCATTCCATCGGCTACCAGGCACACATTTCAATTGTTTGGTTCCTTTGTTAGTTTTGACTTTTCTATCCGCCCCTATGTATATTGGAAGCTTCATAGTTATCTACTCCGTATTAATGTATAAATAATATTAATATTTAATATATATATATATATACGAGTAGTATTTTCAAAAAAAAAATGCCCCTCCCAAATGTGGTGCCCTAGGCAATGGCCTAGGTGTCTGGCCCCCAACACCGGCTCTGCTGGCAGCAGGCAGCAATAACGGAAGGAACAATGATTGCACAACGTCCAAAGTGTTACAAGAGTCTTATCCGATTAGAATATAATTAATAACATTTATTGTATCAGTTTCCTCCTAGAATGCTAGTTCATATAGTCTATAAATACTTCTTGTATACTTCCTAACAAAGGACCAGACTCCGAATAATAAAACACTGCTGTTGAGGTTTATTCCCGAAGATCTGAAAGCCCAACACAAGCTTTGGATATTGTGAGGATGTGGGGTTGGTTTGGAAAGTGTATAAAATGTAAAACAGTGAAATATTAATCAACTCAGGAGCCCACTTGCATTCAGTAATTCTGTGATTACACTGAAATTACCCGAACAGTAGGTAAGTACAAGAATACAAGAATAAGAGAAGTGATTCTACTTGTTAAGCTCTGAGCATCAAAATGCTAACCCTTTACAATGTTCTTAATGCAGGTATTTATACTAAAATGGGGATGGGAAAGCTGGACACGTGGCTGAATCCGGTAGGCTGTACCCCCTGCCACGTAGGAACCCATGCCCCCACTTGCTGCTGCCATGCTTTTGCATTAAATGCGGCCTCCACTTGCTGACTACCCGTTCGGGTAGGGCGTTCGGTGTGCGGGACCCCGCCATGGGTCTTTGGGTGTAATTGTTTCCTGAAATGTTCCAAGTATATGAAATGTGCCGAATGCCGAACGGGTCTGGACTGCTTTGGGCCTTATGCTTCCTCCTGGTTTATTCATACTTTGGGTCGGGGATATTAGGCCTGGACCCAATATCCCAACAACTGCCTTACACTGCCTAATTTTCATCTGCTTTCGTAGATATAGCTCTCATAATTGGATTAAACTTCATCAATAATATTTACCAAAGATTAGGAAAAAACATCAAAGAACCGTGGGTCTGTCATCTTGTGAACCATTGACGTAGAAGAAGAAGATAGAGCTTACGAGTATAATTGAAGGGTAAAGGAGTACTGTCTGTTTCAACCGGTTAATTAATCAGTTTCAACTCAAAAAGTAACTTTATTGCCACTTTTTTGGCTGATAAGAAAAAACAGCTGAAACAACCCATTTGCCACATGTTTGGCTATATTTTTACACTTTAAGGCTTATCGGTCCATTTTTCGAGCTCCTAACGGCCTCTTAGATTTTATATGAAAATAGAGAAACGTGTTAAATTAGTCTTCCTACTATGTACCGATTCTTCATACCTTAACTTTCACCAATTACGCTATCCTACTATGTAATTTTTGTCAAAATCGGTTTTTGGCGGGTAACCCACTAATCAGCATGTTAGCTATTGACGAAGCGCCCACATGGCAGCTGACATCACTTTTTCCTTTTCTTTTCACTTTTTATATTCCTTTCATTTCTACTTTCTCATTTCCCATTTCTTCCCCTGTCTTCTTCCTTGTGTAGACCCCACACAATTGCACTCATTCCATGTTTACCATTTCTTTTTCTTGCACAGACCCCCGACATTTGCAAAAAGACAGTTCTCTACTCGCTTCAACGGATGGTACATGAACGAGAGCAGCGACAAACGGTGATCTGGAGAGGATGACGACGACGAAACTCCCCCTCAACCTGGAACGACAGCCAAGTGGATCAGAGATGGAAAACGACAACTCAACGGTTACTGGAGGAGAGGGGGAAAGGGCTCGTTGCCGGTTGTCTTCATCGCAGGGCATCTTCGTCACAAGTCACCTACATGCAAGGAAGACGGTTCACAGGTGTGCAAGTAGGAAGAAAAATGAGGGAATGGGGAGATTCCATGGAAGAAGCAGGTCTGCAAGGAAGATAAGGCTTGCAGGTCTGCGAGGAGGAAGAATGGGGGAACGGGAAAAGAAAGGAAAGAAGAAAAAAAAAGGAAAAGGAAACTGAAGAAGAAAAACGAGATATAAACGCTTAAAACGGAATAATATACAACAAGACACTAGATCAGATGGAAACTAGGTCATATTGCACAGGGTCAAGTTAATCTTCTCTTTAATGGAAGAATCAAGTTAATCTTCTCTTTAATGGAAGAAAATGAAAAAGAACATGTATTCAACAACTCGTAATTCAGCCGGCAAACCATCCACACTAAAAGCAAGTTCTCACAAGGACAAAGTCAATTTCACCGTAAAATATTCGGATTTTAAACACTACACACAATCTGTGCACATGGTTCACTTCCATAACTACTTATTGATTAGTTTTGTAAAGGCCTAGTAAGACTTCCCACAGTGTATCAAACTTCCAGCCCCCAAAAACAGACCAAAGATTGCTGCACTGCCCACTGTTGTCTGCCCAATGTGCCTGATTTTCAGAAGTCCAGGAACCTGGAATTTTATAAGTAATATGCAGATGAAGAAATTAGATAACTGAGAAATTAGAGATATGAAGTGGCGAAAAGAGACAGGCTTATATATGCATAATGACAAGTAAAACACATAGGGGATTGAAGTTTGAGCTGGATGAGGGTATTGATAGTATATTTGATTTGGTAGAGGCAGTAGAGCCTTTAGTAAGGTTCAGCTTGAATGAAGTGGTATTGAAGGGATATGCTATGGAGGGATTAGTCTCTATAGCTTGATGAATAGAAAACACATACACACACACTTGTATATATCTTAGATATTTCAAAATACAAACAAGCCCTCAGAAGCCCTCCATCCAAACTGACCCTAAAGAAAGAACTTTGTCAGTACGCATTCATAGTTTATCTATAGAATATTATGGATATTCTCAATACACTGTAGCATCACTAATGGGTGAGACATTATCTCATTCCCCAAACCTATGACACTCCAGCTTATCACCTAAACTAGAACTCAATAAGAGAGAAAGATGGATAGAAGGAGGGAGTGTGAGAGTGAGAGAGTCCATTGTTAAGCAGAAAAGCAACGAAAGGTATGCTATGGTCC